CAGGACAGGGGCTGGGATGTAACTGACCACCTCGAAGCCCTCGGACGGCTCCATCTGGACAATGACCTTCTCCAGCTGCTGGTCATTTAGGGTGTTGGTACAGTCAAACTGAAGGAGAGGGAAACTTACGGGGTAAGTAATGGACAAACCACAATTCAGCGAGGTGTGTGTGATATACTTGAATGCAAAGCATGAGTGCATGTCACATACTCCTTTTGTTGGTGTATGCCGTATCCGAATAAAACTATCACATGTGTTGAGGACAAAAAGTAACAAACATCAGCTCTGATACTTTGAAGTATAAAATCTGTATTTTATCTGCAGTAAGCCTCACCTGAAGTACAATATAATTCTGGAACATGTGTTTGACACAGTGAACCATGTACTCAGTCTCGCTCTCGGTGAGTTCCACGGGAAGGTTGGATGATTTGAACAACGGACCCAAGGTGCTGAACTCTGGAATGGCCGCCAGTTGTTCTGGAATGGAATTGATTTTGTAGATTATGTAAATTGTGTTTGTTGTAGTTAAAACTCTCCTTTTGACAAAAATAAAATTTGTTTTTCTTATAATAAAATAACTTCTTAAAATCTTAAAATTCTATTTTAAAATTATTTAAGTATTTTATATTCATTTTCCATATTCCGTTTATTCCAAACTCCCTACCTGCATAGACATCCTGTCTGGATGCGGCCACTTTCTCTGCTGGTCTTGACCCCCCGCCCCCTGCTTCCCCGGGGATTGCTCCAGCTGCTGGAATATAATAATAATAATAATAATAATAATAATAATAATAATAATAATAAGGTCAAGAAAAATATGGGTTCTTTTTTTTTGTACTCTATCATTTGTACATATCAATTTATAATTATCTTGATACAGCCGCTGTGCTTGACTATGGATGGGAAGACAGATGAATGTTAGGGTGTGGCAAGAAGTTTACAGTGTGACATGTGCTTTAATGTTTAAGTACAAAAGTCATCAATCCAAAGACTGTTGATTTCCATCCCTCTGACACATTCAATGAATAAATAAAATCCCCTCAAAACTTGTGGTAAAAATAAAATTCCTTATAACAAACTAAAAACACCAGCAAGATTCTGCTGAAAACATCTTTTAATATCAAACAAATACACAGAAAAGAACTGCAACAAAAGATAATTCTCCACCATGTAGGTCCTGCTCAGAGATGTGTCTGAACCAAAACAATATCCCCTGAAACCAGGGCATCCCGCCAAGATGGTATTCCTGCCATTAAGCTTTACTTCAGTATGAACACAGACATAATATATTATATAATATCAATCGTAAGAACAGAATACCAGGTCAGTAAGGTTATTCACCTTTACCACAAGACCCATTACACTTAATATAAGACAGCCCAGAGAAGGAAGTGGACCTTTCAAGTATCCTGAAAACGCAAGCACCAAAGATGCTTGGCTCCATACGGGCTTTCTTGGGTGGGGGAGAGAGATAAATACAACACCAACATATCTGGATTTTTGGACAAAACCAGAAAACCTTTATCTCCATAGATCAAAATGATAGATGAAAAAAAAGTGCAACAATTAAACATTAATGCAATTTATATATCAAGTTACATGAAACAAAATCCCATCAATTTCCAACCGCTCCTTTCCACTTCTTCTTCCTACCCACAGTGTTTGCTTACCCTTTGTCTTGGTGAGCTGGGGTCTCTCTGACAGAGAGGGGAAAATTAACTATCAATCACTGGATATCATACAGCAGATGAGTAACTGATATTATGGTAGATTCAAAACTGTTTAAAAGATGTTGTTGTACAGATATGCAACAACACTAGAAGCACAGAATGCAGTGAAAAGAGGACACCCCCCTCCCTTTTCACATTTTGAAATATTCTTTACAAAATACTTAACATCACAAGTCTAAAATAAGTGAGGAAATAAATAAATAAATAAATTCCCCTGGCTCTCCTACCTACCAGGTTTCTGTTCTGCCATAGGCTGGGCCACAATGGGTACAGTCTTCATGTCAAACGGTTTGTCTGACGGTTCCATGGTGTAGCTGTGCAGGGCACGCTCCAATCCAACGATAGATACTTGGAGACCTGGGGGGATTTTTTATTCAAGATATATGTAATTATGTGTCCTTTATCAGTCTAATTTTCAGGATTTAGTTCTAAATTCTGGTAGTAATACAAAATTGATAGAAACTTAACCAAATTACAGATTTGTAATATAAACATTTAGCGATAACCAGTACTCAAACATTTTGATAACATACATATATAGAGGACAAAAAGCAGTGATAAATTTCATACCATTTAAGTTTACATTGATCTTTACAGAAAACAAAATGAAATACTGTAGGCAACAAATGATGTTCCTAATTGCATTTCTCACCATTCAGAATGTAGGCAGAGTTGAGAGCTTTCTGCTGCTCCTGCAGGATGTTCAGATAGAAGGTGGCTCGATCTCGCACCTCGTCATCCACATCTAGGAGAGATCTGTAAGATGATAGGTCAAATTTTTATTAACTTAATTCTACTTTAAATATGAGTACAAAAGATGCCTTGGGGGCAAATAACTGACAAGAAGTAATTCATAAAACCATAAGAAATGCCTCATGAAATGGATTTTGACTGAATTTGTTGCTATTTTGGGACAAAAGCACACAGACATCACATTTCATAGCTATGTCATGTGCTGCTGTCTTACTAAGAGTATCATAGTGACCAAGTCGACTATTCTACCTCTGTAACAGGACCAGGATGCTGGGTAGCAGCTCCTCGCAGTGAGCACCAAACTTTGCCAGGGCAGTCACAGCAGCTGAAAGGAAGCATACAGAACTTACATCAAAAGCTAAAACTATCCTTCACTCAACAGCGATTAAGTTTCAAAATCTAAAATTAAGCCACAAAAATAATCATATAAACTGGGTTAGTGAAGGAAAAAACTCCAATGACTTCTCTCCTTGCAAAAGTAACATATTTTCGACACCTTTACGTTAAAAAGTTACATATTAAACACTGGAAGTGGACACAATGAAGAAGCAACACAAATTCTTCTTCGTCTCATTGCCATCACTAAGTACTTTCAAAACACACATACAGCAACATATGTACATTCATGCTTGCACATACACTGCAAAATCAAATTCCACGTTGTCATACCTGCTCTCACTGGTGAGTTCTCCAAGATAACGCGGTTGTAGATGTAGCGGATGTACTTGGAAGGTTGCGGGGTACGAGGACCCTCGCGTCCTAACAGGTGCAAAATACGTGTGGCCAGGCTGGTGTGCTCACAGTCTTCTATAAACTCACACAGATGAGAGAGTCCTGGAAGAGAAAAGAATACTCCATGATGAAGAAGTACCACTGTGAAATGTTTTTCACAAAATAAACTAGTTTTCAGATTTAGGCAATTTCCTCATATTTCATCTTGGAACAGATTGGTGACACTGTTCTCAGTTTGATAATTACGACTTTTTACTTTTTCAAAGTCACACTCGGGCAAAAAATTTCATCAAAATTGAGCTCTATAGATTTTTTTTTTTATCACGGGAGGCACATCCTGAAAACTACACCCTGAAACATGCCACACTGGTATCCTAAGAACACTTGTATTCTATCCACACCCTTGGTATCACTCACCAATTTCTTTGGCCTCAGGGATCTCCTCCACAATATGGATTAGGGTGTCCACGATGGCCTTTTTGTAATCATGGCCGCCCTCCTCTCGCAGCATGGAGGCCAGAAAGCTCATCATCACACCGTGCTTGCGGGGAAACTTGATGCACAGGGACCTAAATAAATGATAAATAAATAAAAGCTTAGGTCGACCTAAGGACAGGTCGGTAATATAATCACTGTCTTATTTAAAACTTTACCTCTGAATAAATAATAAAAGCAATACAAATATAATGAGGACCAGACTCAACCTTGATATTTCAACCACAGCCAATATAACAGTAACTAACCTTATGGCTTCCACAACGACTATCTTGAACTCGTCAGAGATCTCTGACATGAAAGTGGAGATCTGCTTCATGAGCCGGTCCACACTGCTCTCACTGCCAGTCTAAAATATACAAAACACACTGTCGTACAGTCTGGGACTGAAATATCCTTAATGTCTATTGGCAAATGTACTGAAGTCTTTTAGTTAAAAAAAAAAAGAAATTTTGTTTACACTGAAAATGGACCATCAGTGCCTGCCATATATTGACCTATGTTATAATAAATAAATAAATAAATAAATAAATAAATAAATAAATAAATAAATAAA